ATATATATATATATAACTAGAGTATGCATGCTTGGCGAATAGTCAGCTGAAGTAAATGACACTCATTATCAAACATAAAAAGTATCAAACTAATGACAAATTTGTATGGAATCTGTGAGAGCGACAAAGTGGAGACAAAACCCGAAGTGATACAAATCAATGTGATTTTGTTCAAAAGCACTCAGTGACTCTTTAGTATATCCCAGTTTATAATTCGGACACCATTCTGTATGTTGCTGGTGAAATATCGTGAACAATGTATTGTTTCTCTTCATATGGAAAATAATATCATCCGTGCTGTAACATATCTTTATAAGCTGAACGTGTATGACTTTGTAACATGAACGTTCTTACATTAGTTAAAAATTAGTCTTCTTAAAATAACGTCTTAGCTGCACAGAAGAAGATATCGTAGATCAAAGCCGTTTTGCTTTGTTCATGTGTCCTATTGAATTCTGCGATTTAACATTACAAATTGTCTATCTATCTATCTATCTATCTATCTATCTATCTATCTATCTATCTATCTATCTATCTATCTATCTATCTATCTATCTATCTATCTATCTATCTATCTATCTATCTATCTTTCTATCTATATAATGGGACATAAATTTTTATGTTACTATAGAAACACTCACAAGCACATACATAAGGGGTGTAATAAGTTTATTGCTTCATAGATATCGTTTTAACACACATACACACCCACACGCACACTACCTCATCACAGCCCCATATATATATATATATATATATATATATATATATATATATATATGTATATGTATATATTCATATATGTTTATATATATATATATTTTTTTATATAAATGTATGTATATATGTATGTATGTATGTATATATATATATGTATATGTATATATACATATATGTTTATATATATATATTTTTATATAAATGTATGTATATATGTATGTATAAATATATACATACATATATACATATATATATATATATATATATATATATATATATATATATATATATATATATATATATATATATATATATATATATATATGCAATAAACTGTCTACGAACAGTGCGAAAATAAGTAACTAACTAGCCTGAGCGCTTTCTTTTCTTAATGAGTCTTTTTCAAAGGCAAATACAATACATATACAAAACAAACAAATAAACATAAAAATGTTGTGTTTGTAAACCTCTACATGGCTGTTAAACCTATAAATAAAACACAACCAGTCTGTATAGACTTGTTGCAAATACTGAAATACTGAAAACTGTTTATAATTCTCTAAACGTCTACAAGCCAAAGCGACATATATTACTTTTTGTACATTTATGTAACGCAGATTATATCCCGGGTATTTGATTCTATACCGGATATTCTTATGGTAATAATTAAAGGATACTAAGAAGATTTAGAAAAAATTTGAAACGAAAGTGTGTCGGCTACAAAGACCAATGCTACTAGTGCATAGTTTTCTTTTTCTAGTCTTCTTGGTTTAGAGCGCTTGGTTTAAATGTTCTAAGGCGGCGTATCCAGTAAAATTCTTTTTTCTTCCTGGTTTCGGAACTACAGCTGTGTTTGTTAGCAATTGCGATAAGTGTTATATCACTGAAAGTGTGGCCAGGGGAGGAGAATTGTCCTGCGACCGGGCTTCTGTACATCTTCATTGTCATCTAATCAGATCTATGAAGGTGTATCCTTTTGTGTAGCTTTTCAGTTTTTCCGACAATCTGAAGGCTGCAGATCTCACATGTGATGAGATATAAAACATTATCTGTTTTGCACGTTTTGTTTGGACCATGTATGATTATTTTTTTTAGTCACTGTGCTAGTGAATGTCTTGGTCTCTATCATATGTTGACAGGTTTTGTATTTTTTATCGCCACAAGGTCCATATTGACTAGGCTGGGCTTGACTAGAGATTGGTGTTAGCTTTGACCTGACTAGGATGTCATTTTGGTTTTCTGGTCTCGGGTAGGCTACAGGTTTTTCGGAAGAATGAGGTTTAGCATGTCCGACGATTGGACGATGGGCCAGTGTGTTGCAATGATTTTACCTACTTTGGGGTTGTCTGGGTGGTAGGTCAGGATAAATGGTATCGTATTAGCCTTTTCTTTCTGTCCATATTTGAGTAGGTCATCACGGTTTGTTTGTTTGGTCCTTTGGATTGCTTCCGCAATCAGGTCTTTGTCGTAGCCTCGGTAAATTATATGCTTTGCCACTTCTTCAGACCTTTCTAGGAATCTTACATCATGGGAGCAAATTCTGCGTATCCTCAGTGCTTGGCTATATGGAATGTTCCTATTGCCGTGTTTTGGATGACAGCTGGTTGGGAAGAGATACTGGTGTTTGTCGGTTGGTTTGGAGTTGATGTCTGTGTGAAATTTGTTTTCCACCAGTCTGGTTGTTGTGTCCAGGAAAATATGGTTTGAGTTGGAAATTTCTGCCGCGAATTTTATTGAAGGATGGAAGTTGTTTGCCTTTGATATGAAGACATCCAGACTTTCTCTTCCATGTTGCCTCTTCATTTCTATATCATCGATAAAGCGTACCCACTGGTATGGTGTACGTTCAACCGATGCTAAGAGCTGAACCTCCAATTTTCTCATAAAAATGTTAGCATACGAAGCGGCCACTTTACTACCCATTGCAGTTCCATAAAATGTGTAGGTAGTTTTCTTCATTAAATTCAAAGTTATTGAGGTTTATTTTTTCTACTCAAGAAAAAATTACACAGGGTCACCTGGTACATCTACCTTTCTTAAAATAGATTTCAAACACATTGTTAAATTCCCCCTTTGAACCAATAGGAAATCAATTGTAATCTATATTTAACTTTCTCGCATTCAGAAGTCCAATTTACCAAACAAGGAAAAATGAACTCAGCATTAATCCTGTATTTCAAAGTACAAAACGGAAAACAAGGTTGTTGTAAAGAATATGTTCTAAACCTGGGACGAGATCTGAACCTATATGGTACATGTGTCATGCACAGTGTAATTTGTGTAAAAATATGCCTTTAGCATAATTAAAAGAAAACATTTATCTCCTGTAAAAATTCTTTATCTTAAATATTATACCAAAACAGGATTAGCTTTGTCTATAGGTTTGCTATAAACAAATGTGTGAACGATTGTGCTTGCCACTCACCCTAACGTAGCATGTTTATCCTATTTGTTTTATTTTACGAGTAGCTGTTTCGTTTGTTCTTCAAACACTGCAGAGGATAGTTCAATTAGCTGCCGTTTAATGACACGGCAGTAAAGGCTCAATCCATCCAAATGATCCTAGCACGATGTGATTTGGTATAGTGACCAGAAACAATGCTGAGACTTATTGACCCAACTACGTGATCTTATTATTCATTCTTGTAGGGAATATATTATTTATTGTCTTGAAAGGTATAGCACTCATTAGTTCACTCATTTTTGACGCGGTCATTACTCTCACATTTCCTGACCAAACCGTTCCTGATTAGTTTGCTATTAGCTTCATATTCACTTGAAAAGATGAATACAAAATTCATAAAAATAACGAAACCTAAATGCTTATAAGAATCATGGAGACAGACAGATGCAGTTTGCAGTGAAATGGTTATTTCTGTTATAGGTAACACCACACGATTACATTTTCCTTCCGCCACCTTCTACCCAGGACTCTAGATACATAATGCCGTTACTATGGCAGCATGACCACTCCGCCTTGCTATGAGAGTGTCAGCTTTTTTATATTCTTTGACACGATCGAGATTTCTGAACAACAGGTAACTATAAAATGGGACTTAAAGAAATGTACAAGTTAGTGTTTTGTTACTGTTGTTTTATTCATTTGTTTTACTTCTTAAATTGTCATCAGTACATAATAAACTGATGTTTTTGGCTAGAAATGCACCATACTATTGCTGGAGCTAAGCGCTTGGTAAGGCCACACCAATACAGTCGTTTCTTGATGAACTGGGCTGGCATCTAAAGACCGACCCATGGATAGCGATTGAATGAATGTATGGATTGATAGTTGGATATCTATAGAAGTAATTTATGTATGCTATAAACCCATGCAGTCAATCAATTATGGGAAGCAAAATCTACATGATAAAAAATTAGATATGAATGTAAGTGAAATTGTAAATAGGGTTTTCTCTGACTCGTAAGTTACAAATGGGATTTGGAGATGTGTTTATTTGAGACTCAATATGACACTATGTTCTTAACATGTTAGAATGCCTTTTATTTTCAGTTAAATGCATTCAGGCACGTCCATCAGAATTTCGCTAACCAAAACAACCAGAGATATAACGGATGACTTCCGCCCCACTCAGCCGCTTAATCTAAGAGTAGTTTCCTGCAGCAAAAATGTGCACACTAGTCGAAACGAAAGAGCACACATGTGGAGTCCGAGAATATATTTTTGCAAGCATCATTGGCCTGTTTGGCATCTTTGGCATTTTTGACCCCTACTCAGTATGTGCTGATGATAAATTTGTTTCTATATAATGTGATTCTACAATACTTGATTATATTCTCCCTTTCTGAGCATTCCAGATGAAGTCATCGTTAGATGATATACATTGTTGTTTCAGTCACATAGCTGTGTTTTTAGAAAATGCACATTTGACAGTTTATGCTGCAAAGTACATTTGAATTTCAATTCGATGATTTTACATAGGAAATTGCCAATTTGTCATATTGTGATATATGAAGAAATCAGTCATGCCATGATGCAAACAAATGCTTTAATAAACGCTTATATATTGGTGTGGTGTGGTTTGTATGATTTTTAATGTAGTTTTAATATTTTTGCAGTCATATCGCTACGATGTCTGCAGTGTGGCAGTTTATAGTTTATAGTGATGTCTAGCACTGGGGCATCATGCCGCAGACATGTAGCATGATGTCCCACCCAGTCACATTAGCCATACACCAGGCCGACCAGTCCTAATACTACTCTCTTAATACTGAGCGTCAAGCGAGGCAACTGTTACTATTATTTTTGTAAGTCTTTGGTATGACTCGACTGGGGATCGAACCCACAACCTTCCGCATCCGAGGCGTATGCTCTAACCACCAAGCCACCGGAGCTGTTATTATATATTGGTTTTAAGCTGAATAGATTATTGTAAGTAAAATAAACATCTGGACAAAGTTGACATTGCCACTACGATTCATAACTCCTGTTCTTACAATTATACGGCAGTTGTTTAAATGGCAACATTTGTATTGTGATAGCAATGTCCTTAATGGTGGATTTGTCCAGCATGACCGACAACTTCGAAGAGCCACATTATAATTTGGTGCGAAATTCCTTTTAGTAAACATATTTGGTTTTGTAGTTACATTCGCTTGGTTTTTGTCGGGCCAAATGTATTCATATTATCCAGTAATAAAAACTCCTACCATGCACTTTGGTGTGGTGCAGGTTCCACTGATGGTATAGTTGTATTAGAAACATTAACAATGTGATACATATGTCGACACAATTTGAAAGCGAATATACCTAATAAAATTTCTCTATCAGTGAGAAACCTACATTACCAATTGATGTACTTACCTTTTGAGACACACATTGACTTCCGACCCTAAGCGTTCTTGTCTTTTGTCAAAAAATAAAGACAACACCTTTACTTGTGTCGTTTGGATCCGTAACTACTCCAGATCTTTGTTTTGGCTTAAACAGCCATTTTATCTGTAAAATCGTACGCTCATATAGGGGCAAGTATTTTTACTCTTGAAATATCAAGGAATGATGATGGTATTAATAATGATGAACTTTTAATAGCCGGTTGAATGCAGTGTGCTAAGTATCTGTCTGTAAATGTGTTTTATTCGATTTCATTGCATTTATTGTCAGCAATTTCAATATTATGTACGGGTGATACCATTAACAACCTATCATATTATTAATATGTTGTCATTTCGTCTCGTCTGCTTTCTCTGTTCCATAATTATTAATTTTCATTGAGTCACTTAGCATTGCTTTTGACAAAACGTTTTAGACATGTATTTCATGCACGCGTCGTACAGCTCCTGCTTTCGGGGCAGTTACATATATTATTCCATGATTCTTTATTATAAGAAGTTGTTATTGAAGGTCGTGGGCGGTCGGAAAATTCATAGAATTTGCTAAGAGCCATAACTGAACCTGTTACGTTTTTAAATAATTTTATATCATGAAGTTAAATTCGGCCTTAGTGAAAATCAGCAGGGAAAATAAAACACGCAATAAAAGAAGAAACGATTGTGGGAACACATTGAAATTTTCTGCAATAAACGTAATTTAACCCTCTCAGTGTGGTTGACACAAACAACTTAGATTAATGCGGCCAGAGGTCTTTGATAATCCGATACAACACGAAGACGGCCGAACGTCCATTAACAAGTTTTTGATTATTTCGTAATGATAAAGTCATTGTTGTATTTTTATAGTCTTTATCAAAAATGAACTTGCATTGATGGTGTCATGCACAAACGAAATAGTCATTGTTAATCTGGAGATGATAACAGGACCAGACAATCATTTGAATTTCATATGTATAGACACTTAAGGGTCTATTTTATCTGAACTCGTACATATTGACACCTGCACTTTAAAGTAACTTGCCCGACTTAAAGATTGACGTCCGATGTGTTTTTTGTTTCAAAAATGACCAAAATTGTGTGTTTTTAAATGAGTTACTCCTTAATCCCTACCTTTCAGCAAATTATATAACGCACACTTCTGCCGGCCTCCGGGAAGAAGCCCAACAGGAGAGAAAGAGAGTGAGATGTATCTAAACATCGATCAATACTATTCCCTGGGCACAAATCAGCTAAAATAGACGTCAATGTTCGAATCCATTGGACAACCACTAATAGTTAGAATGCTAGGAAGGTGTATGGGGAATTATATTTTTGTAAACTCCTGCAAATGTCTTTAAGACAAAATAATGTCAGTTTTTTAATATCAATGTTTCAATATTGGTCTATAAATTAATCTGTGTTTTCTGTATGTGGGGAGCGGTAATATCCTTGAAATAAAATTAATAGGCCTAACGAGGAATGACACGTGCAATTTGATGTTCAATTCTTTTGTGTCATTAATATAATTTACATGCTATGAAAGGCAACAAAGCATCACAATTCTTATTTAAGAATTACGTTAATGGTATTGGATCACAATATTTTAGGATATATTGACAGAAATCTCGATATCGACTGTTTAATGAACTTTATCACTGACTTTAAAGTTTGCAATAGTTAACTATTTTGTACTTACCCAAACACAACTAGATGAATATATATCAATAACAACATTTCTGAGGATTCGATCAAAACATCGTTTGCACACCAAGAGAAACAGGCGGGGAGACAAGCTAATATTAAAAGTGCATAACAGACATGCTATTAATATTCATGGCTGTTCACCCAATTTTCCCTCTCAGCATTCAAATCGGGATTAAGTCTCATGTATGTACACACCTTGATGGTAAGTTATCACTGACACCCACGCAAATAGCAGGTGCTGCCGATTTCTTAAGGTGGTTAATATATAATAAAATATATTGTATATATGTTAAAGAATAGTTTCATCCAATACGATTGGTCGTACATACATTTCAGTTCACATAGCGTAAAAATAAAAAATCTTGCAATAAGATACTCGCATGCGAACACGTGCGCAACATAACTACACAAACCTGAGCGTAGAAGTTTGATTTTATTTGAGTAAGTAATAATCTCCGAAAGGTTTAATTTCAACAAGAGAGTAAAGTATTAAAGGTTGATTGAAGGTCCAATCCCCCAGATTATTACAATTCAAATAGCGCTAACTGGCTTATTTAATATAGTTTTGATGTGAACAAACCTGAAATAATAAATAAAGAAGACAGACTCCACCACTACTAATGATACATGATTTTCTGCGTCCAATACTCATACTTGGTACCCGACAGCGAGATACTGCATAAATATGTTATCATTCAACTTAAGATATCATTCAACGTTTTCAGTCTGGAACAATTACGACCTACATTTCCAACGACAAATCTAAAAAAGTTTTAATATTCTCACATTCATCTCCTTCTCTTACCCTGATTCTGCTCCTTCTTTCAAAATTTGTTATTTTAAGCCATATAAACGTTTGCTTCTAAAATTGGAATTTATAACAATACAACGCAAGCATAGCATAATGAGTCCCTTCTTGGTGTCCTATTAAATCCTCTGAATTAGATTGGATTTTGACTCATTTTGTTATTATATTTTTTACGAGAAAGTGTGTACTACAAGACATTCAATGAGTCGCGCTAGTTCCGTTGTAAAGCTCTCACTATAATCCAAGGATTACAAGTTTGAAGTATTCGTCCATCCCGTGTCGACAAATTCGCTGTGTTTATGGGCCGCGTGTGTCTAAAGCTTCTGTGTATTCTAGGTTTCTCTGTGTCGACAAACACTGTTTGCTCTAGGGAAAGACAGAGGTCCTATATCCTTATCATGATATAGGTAAATTAAATGCTGAACTTGCAAATAAAACAAAACAAGCGCAACTAGAAATGTTGAGGTGCAAAACAACGATAACGTGGAAGTCTAACCTTGCAATCAAATATATATCATTCTTTATGCCATGTATTTAACATACCAGATAGTATATTTTGCATGATTCTGATATTATTTTGTGGACTGAAGATATTTTTATGTAACAAACATAAGTTCATACTGAGGCAGGGTTTTAATTTATAATGAATATTGTGCTTCTTCAACTGAGTCGTTCTGAATTTAATTTCCAAAATACATCTTGTATCTTTATTGTTGATTTAGAAAAACTAAAGCCAATACTCAGCGGCGTGAATTGAAGTGTAGTTTTCCACATGATATACTACTTGTTATGAAGTGAAATCATTATCGCCCATTGCATCAGCATCAGTTACGTAGAAGACCCATGTTTAACTTTATATGCAGATATGCAAGGGAACTTGTATGTACAAGCAGCATAAGCCTCTTCATGTATGACCATTTCTTTAGCCTCTTCATGAATTCATCGTTCCATTATCAGAACTCAATGTGAGTTGTTGTCTTTCCATTGGTGATTTTTAAAATGAAGTATTAATGAATATGGAAAGTGTACTTTCTCAATCAGCACTTCGCAGATCATTTGTCCTCTTTATCTTCCTTATAACAAATAAAAAATAATAAGTACTTAGAGCCAATACAGTGGTGAATCTAGTTTCATCTGTGTACAGTATCCTTTCCTTCGATAATATCGCCTCAATTGCTCTACTATCAAGCTCACAGAGCATGAAAAGCTTTCAAAGTTGAATTGATTATAAGTTTTCTTTGTTTCCATTCCATTATCTTCCGAAAGGTGATGTATGACCAACATATTGAAGTGGATATTTACACATTTTCTAAATATTTATATGAACAACGAAAAATAAAAACGACCTATCCTACCAGAAAATAGGTAACAAGATGGAGCTTGTGCTTTTAGCTTTTAACTTGTTCTGTAGCAAATACTAAGTGCTCTGAGAAATGCGAACTTTTCAACTACTTTTCTTATGATAAATATAAGTATTGAAACCTGAATAGTGCACAGCACAGGCAGCGATATATAGAGAAAAACAGTATCAAAGTCATAGAAACAAATCATCTTAGGAGTTTTTAAATAGAAAAACATATATTGTATCTACAAAAATGAATCACTGTTTTGAAACACTTTTGAAGCACACGTGCCCCCCCCAAAAAACATAATATTTTTGTGCTGGGGTGAAGAAAGACCATAAATCAAATTTATTATATAGTGAAAATTTTAATCCACTTGCACGTTATGGAAGAGAGTCCTGTTTATTTCTTGTGGATTTTCCCCGAGTCAGTGTGCATGTATTCAAATGAATATTCGGAATATGTTACGACAAAGGTTATTATTGTTTCTTCTATTGAATACAAAATGGTTGCAATGTGGGTCTTCAGAACTAGTGTTTGAACCACCGGCCATACATTTAGGACTCCATTTTTCGTTGGTTTCAAGATAGGTGATCTGTATTAGAAGTGATCTCATTTCTGTAGGATTATGTTAGATTATTTGCTCATTTGTTGTGTTTGTTTATATAA